CTGATTCTAAACCTGTTGTATTTTGCAACATTCAAAGCCCAAAGCAGACCAAGAAGAGAAGCCTGTTCAGCATGGAAATACAAAAACTGAAAGGGGTATTAATCCAAGTAGATAAACACTTGAAGGATACATATTTTGTTAGCTTTGTGTTGTTTACCAAATACCAGTACACTAGCACTAGAAAACTCTGAAACAGAAAAATACTAAGTTTAAGACAATTAAAATGAAGCTCTGTTTTGCACAGTGATTGGCAAACTTATGAAACTCATTACCCTCAAGAATTACTATAAACTGAAAACAACTGGCTTCATAAAACTTTTACATAAATTGAGTGGTAGATGCTTAATGGATAATTAGAATACAAAACTCTAATTTTTGAAGTTGATACTGATAAGGAGAACCATGCTCTCAAAACATGATGCATATGTTAGCACTAGATTATGATCCCACTATCAGGAAAATTCCTAAGGGGTAGGGGGCTAAACCTGGGAAGCAACACTTGAGAAAATCTTGTATTCTTCTAGAGAGAAGTTAAATCATGGAAACAACTCTTGAGCAACTGTATTCTCTTGAATTATCCTTAGCTCCTTGGAGCTCACCTATGGGCCTCTAACCCCATTCTTTCCAAATATTCCTTCAAATAGCTAACAGACAAGGTCCAGCCCTTCAGTAGAGCTTCTAAGTCAGTGAAAGTAGGGCAATGAACTCAAATATTAGAGTCAACAACTCATTGTTAGATGTTGTACCCAAAGGAAGAAGTGAATGGCTGACAGATTTCCCTTGATCATAATCTGGGCGTTTCTATCTTGAGCCAAATATGGGAATTTTAGTGACAACTCTTTCAATTGCTAAAGCTACAGATGCTGTTCCTATTTGAATTATTGTGTGTAGTTGAAGGGTACACCTCTCTTCCCATTATCCCCTCTCCCAACTCAAATGCTTTTAGTCGTTAATTACAGAAAATGGTGTCTTTTTCAATTACAAAGTTTCCAACAGTAGCTTTTTTATTTTTTTATTTTGGTATCATTAATCTGCAATTACAGGAGCAACATTGTGGTTACTAGATTCCCCCCATTATCAAGTCCCCACCACATACCCCATTACAGTCACTGTCCATCAGTGTAGTAAGATGCTGTAGAGTCACTACTGTCTTCTCTGTGCTATACTGCCTTCCCTGTGCCCCCCCCCACACATGTGTGCTAATCATAATGCCCCTTTTCCCCTTATCCTTCCCTTCCCACCCATCCTCTCCAGTCCCTTTTCCTTTGCTAACTGTCAGTCGATTCTTGGGTTCTGTGAGTCTACTGCTGTTTCGTTCCTTCAGTTTTTGCTTTGTTCTTATGCTCCACAGATGAGTGAAATCATTTGGTACTTGTCTTTCTCCGCCTGGCTTATTTCACTGAGCATAATACCCTCTAGCTACATCCATGTTGTTGCAAATGGTAGGATTTGTTTTCTTCATATGGCTGAATAATATTCCATTGTGTATATGTACCACATCTTCTTTATCCATTCTCTACTGATAGACACTTAGGTTGCTTCCATTTCTTGGCTATTATAAATAGTGCTTCTATAAACATAGGGGTGCATATGTCTTTTTGAAACTGGGCTGCTGCATTCTTAGGGTAAATTCCCAGGAGTGGAATTCCTGGGTCAAATGGTATCTCTATTTTTAGTTTTTTTTGGGAACCTCCATACTGCTTTCCACAATGGTTGAACTAATTTACATTCCCACCAGCAGTGTAGGAGGGTTCCCCTTTCACCACATCCTCACCAACATTTGTTGTTGTTTGTCTTTTGGATTGTGACCATTCTATCTGATGTGAGTTGATATCTCATTATGGTTTTAATTTGCATTTCTCTGATGATTAGCGATGTGTGTCATAATCACAGCTCCAGCGGCTTCTGATGCCCCATGACTGTGATCACTCGCAGATAAGTGAAGGGCTCTGCTGCCCCTGTTTGCTTAAAAAATATGTTTTCCCATTTCAAGCCAATGTCAATGAGTAGTGACAGTTCAGGGATACAGTTTACAAGCTGACTTTAATGGATCTGAAATCTCACTGGAGCATCACACTTTAAAAGACTCAGTATCCCTGCAGTTTATAAAGATGATTATTCTAGATATAAAATACTTAATTACAAAGAAAAATATTCCCCAGTTTTTAAGGCAAAGAATGAACTTCCACCCATATGGGCCAATTGCTTAGGAACATCATATATATAGGGAAAAACATAAAATTGAGTATCATGGGGCCTATTCGTAATTCAATAATATTCACTGCAGGGTCAAGTGTAGCAGAGATGTCCATATCCTGCCAGTGATGTTTGAGAGGAACTTCCTCTTTAGGATGATAGGCTGAACAACAACATGACGTCTCAGGTCCTGTTTTGCATGGTTCATCTGTCTCAGAATCGCCTAGGGGAGGGGTTAGATTCTTGGATTCCATCTCAGACTACTGAATCAGAATCTTTCATGTAGAGCTTGGGAATCTACATTCTAATGACCTCCTGAAGTGATTTTTATGCACACTGAAATTTGAGAACCACTGCTCTAAGGAAAAGAGCTCTGGAGTGGAAGTGAGGAAATTTGGGCCCTAGTTTCATTGCTTTCATAGCTTTTCTGGGTAACCCTGACTAAGTCACTTACTTACCCACTCTGGGCCATCTAACCTGTCTGTAAAATTAGGAGATTGAACTATATGATCTCTAAGTTCTCTAAGATTTTTTTGTAATCTATGTTACAGTCCCTATTCTACCAATCTAGTAAATTACTTTGACTGTCTGTCACTTGACTTTATGATCCCTCATTTACCACACATCTAGAAAATAATACTCCTAACTTCTATAAAACCTTGGAATATAAGAATGGAAACCAGCTGTTTCCAGTTCCATGATTAAACCACTTAATTATTTGAAATATGATTTAGAACAAGTTAAAAATCCCATTCTTCCCATCTCAATCATTGAATAAAAAAATATACCCTTAAAATACTACCAAGTGCAAGTATTTAGGTCTCAGCTTTCAGGTGATCCAAAGTGCTAAAACTATTCTTTGAAATGCACAATGTGAGGGTGAATGTAAAATTATTTTCTCCTACTTTCTTTGCAAGCAGAAGTTCCATACCCCCGTTCCATACTGAAGGTGCAAGAGTTAATATAGGTTTCTTTTAATTTAGATAGCCATGGGATTTTCCATTACAAACTTTATAAAATCAAAGCAACAGAAACAGCAAAAGATAACACATAAAGAAACAATTTAAAAGCCTTGACTAAGGTCATAATTTCTAATAACATTTCATGAGGGCTAAGCTAAGGAGGAAGAGTCACTCTCATTCGTTGTTGATGAGAATGTGAAGTATATAAAACTTCTTTTAATGGCAATTTGGCAGTATCTATGAAAAGGCTTATGTTTGGGTCTAGCAATCCCACCTCAGGGAGTTGATTCTATAGATATTTTTAGTACATGTGCAAATGACATATGTACAAAGCTATTCATTATGGCATTATTTGTACCAGAGAAGAGGGAAAAAATTAAGTTTCTATCAGAGACAGTCTGGTTAAATAAACTATGGCACATTCATGCCATGGAATCCCATGGAACTTTAAAAAAAGAGAGTGGGAAAGCTTGCTCTCTCCAAGCTGCATTAGCTGTAATAATCTCCAACTTACAGCAAGTGAAAAAAAAGATGCAAAACTGTGAAAAAGCACACTTTTACAAGTATTAAAACTAAAAGGACACAGAATAAGGTCATGGCACAATGACATTTGTTGCTTCTTCCAGGGAGGGGAACTAGGTGGCTGAGGGGCAGGAACAGAAGGGAGAATTTTCACTGTGTCCTATTTTATACCTTCAAAATTTGAACCTTGTGAAAGTGTTACCTTTCAAAAGAAACACAATGAAAAACTGTTTAAATGTTACAAAAGTTTATATATGTTCTGTGTTCATATATTTATATAAACATATAAATATAAGATCTAGAATGATACACACTGAACACCAAACAGGTATTATGCCTTAGGAGGGGGAGGTGAGAGACTAAATGTATGTATGGGGTGAACATTTACTTTTTTATATTGCTTGAACTTGAAAAGAGATTTTGAAATTACACAAATCAAGCACATAAAAGAGGTCTTGTACCAAAACAGCTGAGAGCACTGGGTTAAGGAGAGTGCAGATTTTTTCAATTCAGCCATAAATGCATGAGAGGCTCAACCCTATTAGCTTGGTTTTGAGTCACATAAGTCTCTTAAGCCTTTCTGATGGATTAAAGTAGTAAGACCTTACCATGTAAGGACTCACAATAAAACAGTAAACTGACCTTCAGTCTTACAATGACCTCTGCAGAGAACAGAAATTTCTAATATCAGAAGAAATATCTAGAAGGCAAAGAATATAAACAGGGGTAGCCACTTTTATAACTCAAGGTGCAACTCATATTTCAAAACTGTGTATATAGCCTTTGGGCTACTGTATGAGGCTTATGATTTAGAGTCAGAAGTCCTGTGTTTAAGATCTGGCTGCATGATATAGTAGCTGTGACTTTGGATAATCACCTTACCCCGAGACTTAGTCAACTATCCTTATCGTATTAGCTATCTCATATTACTGAAAAAATAAAATGAGATATTATGAAAGCCTGTTGTAAACTATAGTGTTGCTCAAATATTTTCATTATCCACTTTCAGCACCCACAGTGACAGAGATAACAAGTTGTTACATTAGCTTCCCCCATATTGTCATAAAGGATATTTCCCCTTTACTCCCAGAATCACATGGCAACTTTTAAAATATGCAATTTCTAGAAAGTCTCTTTCTCAAAATCTGGCATTATAACTTGTTTCTGTCACTGCATGGGAAAAGGCAAGAATTAACATTGCATAATAATACTAGAAAGCACTTGGTAAGAGGAAAACAAAAATTTGTTGTTGAGCTTTATGTCTTACCGAATTATTAGAAATGGACAAAAAGATACTGATTGTTTTTTCTTGTATTTCAGTTTTCTACCTCATATTCTACCATGCCATCTTTGTGTTCTTTACCTGGACATACTGGAAGTCTATTTTCACACTCCCACAACAACCAAACCAGAAGGTAAGAACACTGGCTACTTCATAAAGGCTAAAAACAGAGGAAAGTAGAAATACCAATAAGAAAAGAAAAGGGCAAAAAGAGGAGCAAATAACTTTTCAGTACAAAAGATTCAGGGTAATTTTTTAAAAGGACTCTTAGTGATAAATGTAAATTGAGAGTAGGATAATGTATTGAAGGAGTTTGTGAGATCAGCATGGATATCATCTTTAAGACTAGAAAACAACTACCTGCATTAGTGATACAATTAAAGAAACAAGAACCTACTTGGATTCTGAGGACTCATTCTATGAAACTGTATTACTGCAGATCCCAGCAAGATTTTGGAATACAACTCTTAGAAAAAGAAAAAGAATTACCATAGTTAAAATGATCATTTTTAAACTGTATTCCCTTGAAGCAAATGGTTTTATGCAATATATGAGGGCTCATCAAAGAATATATAATCATATCAGTCATTTATGTGTGACTACTGTAAAACAGATTAGGTTCCAAAGTAGAAAAAAAAACAACAGAAGAGATCTTAACAGCCTCCAAATATTACAAAAAAACTAGTTTAAATTTTCCCATTTATGGAATAAAAATGGTACACAATAAAAATTAAACACAAAGGAAAGTTTATTGTAAGAAATGAGGAACATAAAGAGATATAATATATATAGAAAATGGCAGAAGTCCTTCCTTATGAGTAATTATTTAAAATATAAATTGATTAAACTATCCAATTAAAACTCAGACATTGGCATAATGAGTAAATATGATCATCTATCCTTATGTTCTCTACAAATGACTCACTTTAGAACCAGAGACACAAATAGTGAAATCAAAAATTTAAAGACATCAAAAGTGAAGGGATGGAAAAAGTTATTCCAAGCAAATAGTAATGAAAATAGATCAAGGATAGCAATACTAATATCTTGTGAAAGAAGTTTTAAGCCAAAAATGGAGAATAACCACACAGAAAGGATTGCTAGGGATATCAGCAGGGAAGAGATATCTGGGGAGGACTAAGAGCAAAGAAATATGAGGGAGATGCCAGTGCACTGCCTTGTGGTCTGCTCTGTATTGAACTCTGGTAGCTTTTGCCTCTGAGGAACTCAACAGGCCCCATGACAGCCGCAAATTCCCACAGCTTAAAAGCAAAGAACCCCAGAGTATATGTTGGTGTTGGCCCCAGCAGACTATCCACAGAGGATACTGACAGCTTTTGCCAGTGAGGTAACAACAGCCATCACTGCCACAGATGCCATAGATAGTGAAACACTGTTGAGAGGTCCATACAGGGAGCCATTGTTGCACCGCTCCATTACCAAGGCTGCCAGTCCCTGAATCCTGCATTTGCCCTGAGGCATGTATCCCAGAGCCATGGTCATTCCACATGTACCTGCCACTAGACCTCAGCTTGACAGCCATTACATGTATGACCATGCTCCATATGCTGGCTTCATAGCCACTCCACATGCACCAGTGCCTCAGACACCAGAGCCACTGACACTGCATAGTATCCCATGCACCATACCCTGGAGAAGCTATTGTTCCATGCACATCTGTGCTGTGCACCCTGGATTCGTGGCCACTCTCGAATTGCTTGCACCACAGAAACTGGAGCACTCCTTCAGTGGGTGCAGCAGCCCTCTATAATTTAAGTCCATAGCTACTCCACAAGTACCCAAATCTAGGACACACATGTCATTGTCATAGCAGACTCATCCGTGCACCATGCACACCTGATTTCTAGACCCCTGCTTTGTAAGAGCAGGAACCTAGAGCAATGGAGTCTCTGCCACAGTGTGAGCGCCCATGCCTCAGACTCCAGAGCCTCCATAGCACTGTGCAAACGTGGACTCTGGACCCCATCTCCATGGCTGCTCCACAAGCACCTGCAACTCACCAACACTGCAGTGGAGGTGCCTATACCTAAGACAGTAGCACCACCTCCACCAACCTAGACTCCAGAACTACTCCATTGACTTCATGCAAGTTACTCCAGACTCTGGCTCCATGGCTGCTCCATGAGCAACTGTGCATCAAATGCCATTGAAACAACCACTGTAAGTATGCCCACAAGCTGGTCCTGGGGCCTTGAGGGATCCCCTCAGTCATGACTTTTACCATGGGGGAAAAAGAGATCAGGAGGACCCCAGCAGCCTTCACCAATGAAGATCTCAAAAACCCTCCCTGCCACCAAAGTCCCCTTTAGTCTTGTTGCTGATGAGGGCTGACAGAGCTGCACAGAGACTAAGAATTGCACCTTCTCTGAAGCCAGAACTGCATCATTCCACCCAGAGTGCATTTTTGCATCCACTCAGAGATGAAGAACTTTCCCCACTGAAAGCAGTTCATAAACTTGAAGAGGTGACTGCTCCATCAAATGTGCACATATCAATGCAATGCTTCAAGAAACACAAAGACTCAAGGAAAAATGACACCACCAAGGGAACACAATATTCCAGTAACTGACTGCAATGAAATGAAAATCTATGAAAAAACTCAAAATAATTGTTTTAAGGAAGCTTAGCAAACTACAGGACAACACAGAGAACTCAACACAATCAGGAAAACACTACATGTAAAAAAACAGAAAGTAAATGAAGAAAATAATAATACAGAGCCAAACAGAAATTCTGTAGCTGGGGAATACAATGAATGAAATGAAAAATAACATAGAAAGCATTAACACCAGATTAACTGAGCAAAAGAAAGAATCTTCAAACTCAAGTAAAGGTCATTTGAAATTATCCAGTTAGGGGAACAAAAAGAGTGGAAAAGTAAATACATTGCATGGGACCTGTGGGACATCATCAGGCATAGAATATATACATTATGGAATAAAAGAAGGAGAAGAGAGAAAAGGAGAGAAAGCTTACATAAAAGAAATAATGGCTTTCTGAGAAAAAGATGGCAATATAAGAAGCAAGGCAGAAACGTTCTCCAAAAATCACATAAAACATGAAAATACAGCAAACAAAACTAATACTGAAAATGACCTGAAGACTACAGAACAGACTGCCTACATCTGGGAAGAAGGTAAGACATTACAGAAAATGGTACCAGTCCAGCATGCCTGCAACCCCCACCATTGCAGCAGGCCATAGGGAGGGCAATTCCACCCATGGCAGGCCCAGAATACACCCAAAGTATTCTCCCTGCTCATAAGGTCAGCTGACAGCTCACAGAGCCCACCTGAAATCAGATCACTACAAGCCAGACAGGTACATCACCCACTGCACACCAACAGCTGGGGCTCCTGCACAGTAAGTTGAACTTCTGGGCACTAGAGGGCACCTCCTACACAAAGCTATTATTCCATGGGAAACACTAAAAAAAAAGAACCAGAGGAATATGGTCCAAACAAAAGTACACAATAGAACACCAGAAAGAGGGCTTAGTGAAACTGAAATCACAATCTTCTTGATAAATATTTCAAAATAAAAGTCATAAATATGCTCACAGATTTACAGGAAAATATTCAAGATCTCAGGGAGGACTTCAACAAAGAGATAGAAATCATGGAAAAGAACCACTCAGAGCTAAAGAATACAGTATCTGAAATAAAACATACAATGGAGAGATTTAAAAGTAGATTAGGTGATGTAGGCAATGGTAAATGAAATTGAAATTAGAGAACAGGAAAACAAAGAATCTGACAAACACAGAGAAAAATGATCTCTAGGAATGAAAGAATAACAAAGGCTCTGTGCAACCAATCCACATGGAACAATAGTCACATTATAGGGGCACCAGAAGAAGAAGAGAGAGACAAAAAAATCAAAAGTCTCTTTGAGGAAATTATTGTTGAAAACTTCACCAATCTGGGAAAGGAAATAGTCTCTCAGGTCATGGAAACAACAAAAAGGAACCCTAGGAAGGCAGCACCAAGTGGCAAAGATCAAGGACAAGGGGAGAGTATTGAAAACAGCCAGACAGAGAAAGAAGATCACTTATAAAGCAATCCCCATCAGGCTATCAGCAGACTTCTTAGCAGAAACCTTACAGGCCAAAGGGGAGTGGCATGATATTTTTAATGTAATGAAACAGAAGGGCCTCCAACCAATAATACTCTACCCAGCAAGATTATCATTTAAATTTGAAGAAGGGATTAAACAATTTCCAGATAAGCAAAAGTTGAGGGAATTCACCAACAGTAATCCATCATTACAGGTTCTGTTAAAGTAAATGCCCTAGATGAAAATGCTCCTAAGGCTAAATAGCTGTCACCAGAGAAAATAAACAGACAGTAAAGGCAGTAAAACAGTTACTAAGCAAATATGAAATGAAATCAACTACTCACAAAGTTAGTCAAGGGATACACAAAGAGTGCAGAATATGACACCTAATACATAAAGTGTGGAGGAGGAAGAAGAAGAAGGAGAGGAAAAAAATACCTTTAGATTTGTTTAAAATAGAGTAATTAGTGATTTAAGATAGACTGTTAGATAGTAAGGAAGCTATCCTTGAACCTTTGGTAACCACAAACCCAAAGCCTACAGTGGCAATAAGTACACATCTATCAATAATCACTCTAAATGTAAATTGACTGAATGCACCAATCAAAAGACATAGAATGGCAGAATGGATAAAAAATAAGACCCATCTATATACTGCCTACAAGAGTCCTTTCAAACCCGATATATATACAAGCTAAAATTGAAAGGATGGAAAAAGATATTTCATGTAAATAGTAGGGAAAGAAAAGCAGGAGGAGCAGTACTTATATCAGACAAAATAGATTTCAAAGCAAATAAAGTAAAAAGAGACAAAGCAGGACATTTCATAATGATAAAGGGGTCAGTCCAACAAAAGGATATAGCCATTATAAGTATCTATGAACCCAATATAGGAGTACCTAAATATGTGAAACAAATACTAACAGAATTAAAGGGAGAAATGGACAGCAACACAATCTTTTAACACCTCACTTACATCAATGGACAGATCATCCATGCAGAAAATTAATAAGGAAACAGAAGTGTTGAGTGACACATTAGATCAGATGAACTTAA